ATTAATTTTTTATCTTTTTATTTAGGAGAGAAATCAGCTACGGTGTCATTTAATATCAGCTGCATATAGTTAATTATGGCTCGCTAGAGGGCTGAGCCAGGGCAGGCAGACAGGCTGGGAAAGGTTTAAGGTTGGCTTTTGCCGCAGTGTTGGTATTGTTGTTTTGCAAGTATCATATAACCCTTGTTTTGGAAAAGGGCTAGTGGTTTAAAACAAGAAATTTTTGAAACATCTCTAAGTATATAGCTGGATTTGAAAGAAAACATTTGTCATGGCCGGAACACAAGAAAAGGCAGCAGAAACAATCTGAACTTTATATCTGAAAACACGAATAAAGCATCAAATCAGCAATATAATGAGTTGTCTGTTGTGACTTGCTGCATTTGTCTCTGTGCTGGCAACAAGAGCTGAACTTGAGTTTGGGGGCAGGGACTGCTCCGGCGCGTGGGCAGAGCATGCCCAGTATGGCGGCGGGGGCACACAGAGTGAAGGCAGAGTGTGCACCAGGACGCAGCATGTGGGGGAGGGCTAGAACTTCCCTGAAAATGCATGCAAGGTAGGGGCGGTGTAAGCAGAGTGGGCCAGGCAGTGGGCATGCAGCACACGAGGGGGGTGGAGCTGGGAGGCGGAGCTGGGATGCGGTGAAGCCAGGACCCTGCACACGGGGACCCTGCACGCCAGGACCTGTGAAGCTGGGGCACCATGTGAAGGTGGGACTGCTCACGGGGCACATGGAGTAGGGCACGACGTTAGAGCCAACCCCATAGGGAGCTGGAGCGTAGTATGAGAGTTTAAAGCAGCCCACACGTACCTCTAAACACTGTTTTGGCGCACCTCTCCCATCTCGGTGGGGAATGGGTCGGTGCGCACGGCAGTGGGGGAGGAGAAGTGGTGAGGAAATAAAGGGGATGCTGGCAGGAAAGGACACACACTCTCAAAACAAAGGCTTAAAGATAGACAGTTTTGGGGCTGGGGGTTTAGCTCAGCGGCATAAGCACCTGCCTTGCAAGCAGGCGGTCGTGAGTTCGATCCCCGGTACCGATAAAAATGAAAAAGACAAAAAAAAAAAAAAAAAAAAGATAGACAGTTTTGTAAACTTGTCAGTGTGATAAGCTATAGATAGGTATGATTTTGGGGGGGGACAGGAAGTGGTCCCCAAGATAAAATCTGGTGTGGGGTCTGGCCCACAGAGCTATAGCCAGAAGAGGCAATGGACTGTGGTCTACTAAGTTTAAGTCGCCACTTTTACTTGTTCTAGACTGATCGGTATTTTGGTTCCAAAGCTTGTAACAATTGGCCGTCACCAATATATACGAGTGGATCTTGTCCGTGGAGTTTAGTAACGGCTCTGCCCGTGAGAACTTAAAAAGCTCTGAAGGACGTGAGAGTTCCTCAGTGTGGACCCAGGTTGGCCCAGAAAACCTCTGCCTTGGGCTGTCTAAGGATGTGTGAGCATCACGCAAATCCATGGAAATGAGAAGAAAACCCACATGGGGCCTGGCCCAGCGGCAATCTCCGGGGGTTGCTCAACACCAATAAATTGGGCTGGTGTTGTTTGTGAACCAGCAGCGACAAGTTTACAAGCTTACAGTTCTCAAGTGTAGAAGCAAGGAATTAATGCAGGATGCAATCCAGTCTGCAAATGACAGGGGACTCAGATTGGGAGGGCCCCAGGAGTCTCTCATCTGCCATTCCCAGTCAGGGAACCATATGATAGAATTGTGGGGTGGCAGCTGAAAAGATAAGAAGTATGAAATGTAAGTGACCTTTATTTTAACAATGCAGGGAGAGACCCCCTAAGCCCCTTGGGTGCAGCATCTCCCCCCAGGGTTGGCGATCTCTCCCTCGAACATGTGGAGTGGAGGCATACATATAGCTTAGGTTTGAGGTGGAGCCTGAGCGGGCATTAGGGATGCACAGGTATCTCATTGGCACTCATTTGGCACCAGGGACAAATTCCTAGGGGTAGGGAAGATAGGGCCACAGGTAAATTCCTAGGGGTGGGGAAGATGGAGCTCCTTGGTTCTGCCTGAGGCTTTACCAGCTACAGTGTCCAATCTGAGCCAAAATCCTTTCAGCAACAATCCTCCATTCTCAGCCTCCCAAGTGCTGGAATTACAAGCATATGCCCCCATACCCAGCTACCTGTTTCTCTAGTATAAAAATATACTAGAATAAGCAAACTTCACTAGGAGAACATGACATTTCTGTGTGAAAGGTTCTTGCCCTAGTATAAATTACTGTATAATTTTTTAAAATACTGTATAATTATGGCAGTGGTCTAATATGGTGGGAGGCCAGAGCGGGGAACATTTACCACTTCCCCCTTCTTCAGCCCTAATGGCAACTCCCTTTCCTGTTTGTGGGCAAAAAAATTCAAATCAGTCCCTCATACATCATCAATGTCCGACCCATGCACTATTTCTGATAGAGGTCACATAACCCTCTGCCTCTCTATATCTGGTCAAAGGGGATAGCCCAACCACCACGGGTTGTGTGCTCCTTTCCATGTCCTCACTAAACCCATTCTTTTCTTTTTTTTACTTTCGCTTCTCTATTGCACCAGAATAGTCTAACATGTATGCTTTGTAAATTGTAACAAACACAGATCCTGCCATTTCTATGTGGAAACCAACTGACTTTTTTCCTCCAATCAGTATTTTTAAATTTTAGTGATCTGGTGAATAGATTTATGGGTGGGTCCTGTTGCAGGAAATTTCCCAAGCCAAGCCAAACGAAACCAAAAGGAAGACTCTTTTTTTTTTTTTTTTTTTTGGATTGAACTCATGACCTGCACTTACCAGGCAAGCGCCTGAGCCACTGAGCTAAATCCCCAGCCCCAGAAAGACTCTTTATACCAAGGAGATAAGAAGGCAGCATTTAACTTTACACCAGCAGACTGTTGGGAGTTCATACCAATGGACTGTTGCAGAGATAATCCCTCCCAGGCAACTGCCCTGAATCAGGAAAGAATTTAGTCTATATAGAATTAGAAGTGGAAGATACAAAGCAAGTGATCAGATGTTACAGGATTGGTTACATACGTGGAATCATATATTGACAGACAGGCTAGTGTTGAAACAATAGAAACATTCCAGGAACCAGGGGAGGAGGCTCTCACAGAATGAGTCTACATAAGGGCATCTCCATAATAATATAGGAATTGCTCCAGAGAGAGAGCCTTGACTGAAAGAGTATGACTAAGGACTTTACCCATTACCATAATATAGGAATGTTCTGTTCCAGAGAGAGAGCTTTTATTGAATAAGCATAGGTCAGCCCGAAGTGCCTTAAGGTATAGGCAATTGCTGTGACATTGTCAGGGTCTACTGAATTTACCAGACAGCAGAACAGCAACTTGGTCAGAGTCCTCTAGAAATATCTATAAAAAATTTACCATTTCATGAGTGCATTTCTACACTATAACTGTGCCTCAACAATTCCACAGAGAAATGCCCAAATCCCTTACCCTCCAAGTATGTTAACAAACTACCACCTCAGAAAAATCATATCAAGAGACACTAGTCATAGATGTAGGCAGATTTATAAAGAAATAGGGGCTGGGATTTAGCTCAGCCTTGCAAGTGTGCAGTCGTGAGTTTGATCCCTGGTACCAATAAAAATGAAAATGACAAAAAAAAAAAGAAGTATATACTCTGGAGGTTGGGCACTTAAGAAGTAATAACATTATGGTCTGGGGTGGAGTATTAATATAGTATTGCGGGCCCAGGGATATAGCTCAGCAGCATAGCACCACCCTAACAAGGTTGTAAGTCTGACACCCACTACAAAGAAAATCATCCTGGGCATTTCCTCAAGGTAATGATCTAGGACAGTGGTGGCAAATCCATGGCATGAATGCATACCACAGGGGGCTGTTTGCATCACTGAGAAAAGATTTGCTGTTACTGATCTAGGATATGTATTATTAGTGAAAGGATTTTGCCCTAAATGAGACACTGTAGCAGTGGGAGGCTCTGGGAGGCAAAAGATCATCTTCCCCGCCCCTAAGCAATTTACTTGTGGCACGAAATGAATTCCAATGGGCTACCTGTGCATCAATAATGCCCCTTAGGCTACACCCCAAACCTAAGCTATATGTATGCCCCCGCACCACATGTCAGGCAGAGAGAAAGCCAGACCTCAGAGGTCATAGAGTCTCTCTCTGCATTCTTAAAATAAAGGCCACTTTTATCTCATATTTCTATATTTTTAGTGGTGAAGAAAATTCTATTAGTTAGTTCCCTGACCGGCGGAACAGCAGGTGAGTGATTCCTGGGATTCTCCCAATCCCTTGCTGATTCATGGACTGGACTACATCCTGGATTAATTACTCACCTCTCAACACATGGGAGCTGCTAAACTTGTCACTGCTGGTTTACAGACAACACCGGTCTAATTCATTTACTGCAGGTGAGCCAATTCTGCCCAAAGATTACTCTGTGGTGGGTCGGACCCCATGCCAGATTTTCTTTCCATTCCCTGGATTGGGGTAACGCTCTCACGTCTCTTGGGCAGCCCTGAGGCAGAGCTATTACTAATCCATGGAAAATCCACTCACACCTTTTGGTGATGATCAAAAACACAAGTTTTGGAACTGATTACCAATCGGTCTAAGAGGCCAGGTGATGTCCTGATTTGGCTTAGATCATGGTCCCTTGGTTCACCTGACTGTGATTTGATCGTGGGGACTACTTCCTGTCCCCCCAAAAACATACCTATGGGGTACCTGGTTCAAAAGGGTACCTAAAACCAAAAAGCTGATCTTTTATTTATAGCTTATCACACTGACGACAAGTTTGCAAAAACTCCATCCTTAGGCCTTTGTTTTAAGAATGCATCCCTCTCCCGCTGCTCCTCCAGGATCCCTCCCCCTCCCCACAGTTAGGACGTGGCTTCTTTCTTTACATCCTTTCCCCCTATATCTTACACACCAAATCCCGAAGCTTCCTTAGTGTCCTCCTTTCCTCCCCACTTCAACCATTTCTCAATCCCTCCCCATGCCGCACACCAGCTCGCCTTTCCAGGTGCATGCCAGGATGGAGGAGGTACGTGCGGATAGCATTGGGCTGCACGCTGGCAGTGCAGGTGGCACAGGCCGAGCGTGCTCAGTGTGCACTGACAGGGCCGTGCAGGCTGCTCTGGGCTCTCACACTGCACCCCAGCTGCGCGCCCCCCTCCCCATGTGCTCTGCCCCCCTACATGCTCCGCATGCCTCCCGAGCAGTCCCAGCCCCAACCCCTGCCTCCGAGCGTGAGCGCGGCTCTGGGCAGCAGCGCCGAGGTCCAAAGGACCAATTCTTATTTCAAGAGATCTCTATTAATTAATCTACAAAAGGGTTCGCAACAGAATTTTTAATATAGTTTAAATTGGCCAAATATATTTGAGTGAACTCTGATTTTATAAGATATATCTGTTGTTTGTTCAGTCCGTTTATACTGTACAGATATCTGTCCATGTTTGTCCATTTGCCTGCTCTGTAAACAGCTGTTCAAGTTTTTATTTGAGCTCAACAATTTTTTCCTTTTTTACATTCTCAAACCATTTAATCAAGTTTTATTTGGGTTATAGATTAAAAAAACATGCTTCCACCTAGTTTGCCAGCTGGTCAAAATGGTGCTAAACCTGGTTAAATAAAATCTCTTGGGGTGAGAAGACACTGGACAAGACTTCAATTGATAGATGGGGAAAGTGGCCACCTGGTAATTTTTCCAGCCTTGTTTATCAATTAAAGTCTCCAAAAATTTCCATAGCCTTATGGGAAACACCTCAACTAAAGTTCATACAACTAAGACAATTCATTGTTGCTGATCTGATAGTATATTCATGCTTTCAAATATAAAATTGGGATTATTTCTTCTGCCTTTTTCTTGTGCTCCAGCTAAGAGATACAAATTAGACCAACATGAGTAAACCAGTCAAATAATAATTTTTAAACAAACATTTGTATCATGTATGATGACAAGTGTTTTCTTGCAGATGCAGACATATGCTTAGAGATGCTTCACAAATTTATTCAGTGCTCAAATGTTAAAAAACTCATGGTCAATATTCATTTAATATTCTATGTTAAGCTTACTACCTATACTGTACTATACTGTTATCAATCTTCTAGATGTTCAACAAGTGAAATTTTGGATTCCTTTTGCTGGGATCCACCAGATCTTTTCCACAATAATCTTTTTTGGTGTATGCAAAACAAGACCAGCACTGGGGCAGAGGCCAGCCATGAGCCTTTCCCAGCCCGTCCACCTGCCCTGGCTCAGCCCTCCGCCGAGCCATAATTAACTATACTCAACTGGCATTAAATGACACTATAGCTGGTCTCTCTCCTAAATAAAAAGGTAAAGTTAATAAAACAGGCCATCCTCCAAAAATCATATCGAATTAGACATTCTAACAGCATAAAGAGATACTCATATATGACAAATAAATGACATATCAGTTCCTAAAATTCCCTGGACCTTATCCTCCTTATCCTCCTTATGGGAAGCCATTACTAAAGTTATGATCATAAATACCCTGTTGATTGTATTATTTGACTCCTGCATACTTAATTGATTCTACAGATACCTTCCACTGTGGGCCAGATCCCAAGACAAAAGGCTAAATGTGGCCCTCAAACCCCACAGGGAGACCTTCTTAATATGGCTTTGGATGTTTTCAACCACAGAGATGAAAAATAGCAATCTGATCTTTAGGTGGAGCTGCCTGAGCCCCTTCTGGACCATGCTTTGAATGCAGCAGAAGGACATTGGACAGGAGAGTGCCCCATCCTGGCATTCCTTTGGGGCCTTACCCCAGGGCTACTGGACTCTCCTAGTCACCAAAGAGTGGGTAAGCCATCCTCCTAACTTCTAGCCCTCACAGGAAATGCCAACACTGCCAGATTCATCGCTGACAGATCTGCTTGGACTTGCTGCTGAAGACTGATGGGACTTGGGGTCCACAGCCCCCATTAAGGTGTCCTTCTCAGAATCCCAAGTTCCACTAGAGGTCTCAGGTAAGACATTCTCTATACTTGTGGACATAGAGGCCATGGATAGGGTTCTTCCTGAGCTTTCAGGCTACTATTTAAGTCCTCAGTCTCTATATGGGGTATTGATGGTCAACCTATGCAGCCTTTACAGACAGGGCCTATTTCATGCAGGTTCCAGGCTTGCTTCTTCTCTGGTTGATCTCGTAGTTTGAGATACCTCTAATCCCACCTGTGTTGCCCATGCCATGCCTATTTTAATTCGTCTCAGGGATCCTTTAATTTTTCCTTGTGTTCCCCAATATCCCATAGCTCCTAAACATTTACAGGGACTTAAACCTATAATTAAGTGCCTTTTAGACAATAGTTTTCTTAAACCTACCCATTCACCTGGTAATACTGCCAATCTTCTGGTACTCAAGCTGGATGGGTCTTACCCTCTAGTACAAGACCTTAAGATACTCAGTAGTGCTATTACCCCAATCCACTCAGTGGTGCCAAACCCTTATACCATGTTCTCTCTCATATCCCTCCCTCCACCACTGACTTTACAGTCCTAGATCTTAAAAATGCCTTTTTATTCCTTTGTGTTTATGCAGACTGAACCAGACACTATGAAGTCTCAACAGCTTGCACCTGTTATCTCTAACAAAACCCTCTCCCTAGGGACGCATAGCACCACCTTCCTTTCTGATTCATCAATTTCTCAGACACAAACCTGGTCAAGATTGACAGATAAATTTTACACACATACCTTGCCACACAGCTCTCAAATATCTTCTCACCATTGCTTATACTTTTTCAGGATAAATAAATACTTACTAAAGTCCTGTTACAGGAAATCATCCCAAAGACGACAACCAAGGTGGAGCAGTTCATACCTGGTCTTCTTAGCAACCTCAACAGCAGTCAGAGTTGCTAGACTGCCATCCTGGTTTCACATCACTCAGGCTAAGTGGTGCCCTTCCAGCCCTAGATCTAACCACTCTTTCAGCCACTCACCTCCACCTTACCAAGACCTCACAGCCACAATTCTCAGGCTGAGTCATGTTTTGTTATTCAATTTGGTTCCTAATTTCTTACATTCTATTAATTATCCTTTTTACAGCAGGACTCTCAACAGTCTTTCCTAAAGACTCCCACATCATGCATACCAGAGACAAGTCTTACTTACCTACCCTCTTAACTTTTACCCTTTCAGATGGGAAAATAATCACCTCTCATAACTTCACTCCTCCTAATCCCACACTTATTTTTCAGAATTCTACCTCACCGTGGCAATGATTGTACCTCAACATGGTCCTGATAAAATGACATATCTAAATCAAGGCATCTTTCCTTCTACCTCACCTGGGACTTTAAATGTGATAGTGACTCACCTCTTCGTAACACCTTGTCTCTTTATTTTTCTAGTCTAACGTGCAAACATTCACCAGTGATAAAGTTGTCCTGGCTAAAACACCTGGTACCAGCTTCTACATGAGCATCAACTGTCCATCCCGTCGACCCTCCTAAACCCCAGTACAGCGCCCCCTTTCAGCAGGAATCAGTAAAAGAAAGAAAAAACTTCGCCCTTTTTCCTAATAATAAAAAGATAGGAATGAAAGGATTCTGCCCTAAATGAGAGGCTGTAGCGGTGGGAGGCTCTGGGAGGTGAAAAGTCATCTTCCCTGCCCCTAAGCAATTTACCTGTGGCACGAAATGAATTCCAATGGACTACCTGTGCATCAGTAATGCCTCTTAGGCTCCACCCCAAACCTAAGCTATATGTATGCCCCCACACCATGTGTCAACCAGAGAGAAAGCCAGACCCCAGAGGTCATGGAGTCTCTCTCTCTGCATTCTTAAAACAAAGGCCACTCTTGTCTCATATTTCTATCTTTTTAGGCTGTGCTGAAAATTCTATCAACTAGTATCTGTTAAATTATTCCCTAGTGGGCTATGTTAGAATGCAAACAATTATACGTGTTTCAAATTTAAAGATAATAGTGTTGGGGCACAATTATAATGTAAGAACATATCTATAAAATAGCAAACCTATAGGTATTTCATGATACAAATTAGAGAGCAATTAAAGGTCTCTGGCCAGGTTTCTGCTGAATTCAATAGACCTTGACAGTATCTAAAGCCCCTCTGCATACCTCTGATAAGTACTGAGTCAGCATAATTGCCTCTACCTTAAGGCACCCTTGGCTGGTCAAGCACGCCTTTATGCTGTAAGAGTCCTCTCCCCTTGCTCCCGGAATGTTTCTCTACTATGATAAAACAATTCCTTTGTTTCAACAAATCTGTTTAAGACTAGCCTGCCTGTCAATATGACTCAAAGCATGTAACTAATTGTATAATATTTTGCCACTTGCTTTGTCCTTCTAAATGCTACGTAAACTAAGCTCTTTGTAAACCCAGGGCTGTTGTCTTTGGGAACCATCCCACAACAGTCTTCCCAGCATAAAGATTAAATGATGCCTTCTAAATATCTCCTCAGTCCAAGGAGTTTTCCTTTTGGTTTGACTTAGAAATCTTCCCACAACAATAGTATTGTAGACAGCTAAGTTAGGTAGAAATAAGGTTGAGCCCTTCAGAGATCAATGCAGAAGACATCTGTGAAGCATATCACTGAAGGCCAGACTTCAGGAAAAAAAGAACTGTTCACACATCATATACTTTCCTTAGGGATGAACTCAGTGACTGATATTCTAAGTAGGCATCAATCGCCTTGGGGTAGAGGACCAAACCTTAACCCATCCCTTCCAGGAAAGTCTTTGTCAGACTGTCTATGTGCACATTCTTCCCAACTTGATCCCTGAGTAATCAGTATCACCGAAATGACTATACTTGTTAAATCTTTTGGTTCACCATAGTCTTGTCCCACCTCATACCCACTTTGTGATTTCCCATTGGATCAATGTTACCTGAGTGACTATACTTGCAATCTTATTGATGATAGTTCTGTACTACTTGAAACTGCCTCCCCTTGTGGCACTGCTCAATAAACACCCTTGGGAACTGGAGTTCATGGCAGCCCACTTTCTGAGCCCCTTTCTGTCTCTCTTAAAAGCTTTCTTTTTCTCAATAAATTCTTCCTACTCTTAACTGCATTGTTCCTAGAATTCACTCTTCAGTTTTAAAGTGCATGAACTATATCTAGCAGGTTGGGAGTTATATCTACCCTCTATCGATATCACTCAATTAATAGTGGTGTTTCCTTGTGAATACATAGTATCAGAATGGCCCAATATATAGGTTTATTCTATCTTTTAAGATTTGGGAATTTAGAAGAAACCCTGGAAGAGGAAAACAGGCTTAGACTTCAATAAAAAACCATTGTAACCTTGGAAACTTTGTGTCCTGGTGTCCTAAAGCCACGGTGCCGTCCCCCTTCCATTCTTTTGTGGGTATACAGAGGACTGAGTTTCATTTTGGTGTGTTTGTACATGTATAAATACATTTTGATCTTTTTATCTCCTCATTAGTCTTCACCTGCTCTCCCCTCTAGTTTCACATTTTTGGAGGTGTTCAATGTGTATATTTTTCCTCATATCCTCTCCCCTACTCTCTTTTTGGGGGAGTGCTGGGAACTGAACTCAGGACCTTGCCCTTGTCAGGCAGGTGCTGTGCTGCTGAGCTATATCTGCAGCCCTATAACCCAGGTCTTCTTAGAAGTACAATTTTAAAATTACAATTTTTTTGGTATTAGGAATCAAACTCAGGACCTTGTGCTTGCCAGACAGGTGCATAAGGCTGAGCTATGTCCCCAGCCTTAAAATTACAATTTTACGGTCTCTTTTCTACCTATCTTTATTTTGTCTATCATCCCTTACTGTTAATTCACATTGTTGTATAATGATAATCTCTATACATCTCCATAAATCTTTTCATCTTGCAAAATTAAACTCTATCCACATTAAATAATTTCCACTCAGTAGTGTTGCGAATTCAGGGCCAGCCTGAACTGCATTGTGAAACCCTGTCTCAAAAAATAAAAACAACAAACCAAAAAATTTCCATTCTCATTCTCATTCCCTACTCCACCTTCCAGTCCCTGGGAACCATCAGCCCACATTCTGTCTCTATTCCCTATATATTAATCGATTGCCTTCAATATGATGGGATGTGTATTAGGCTCTCAGTACAAAGATAAAGATAAACCTTGCTTCCAGTGTATACTTTCCCATTACTACACCACAGCACAACAGTGATGACAAACCTTTCAGACTTCCAGTGGTACAAACAACCCACCGTGCAGCACGGCATTTATGTCTGCTATAACTATCTATGTATCCATGTTGCTACTAGACTATAAACTCTGTGAAGTTATGGTCCTGCATGTACTAAGCACCCAATAAATGATCAGTGAATTATGAGGTGGAGATTAAATCTTACCAGAGGAAAGAGATTCACAATCCTGTATAATCAGGATTCTTAGTTATGAAAAAGAAAAGCTGTTGACTCATTGGTATAGCAGAAATAGTGTTAATACTGGTTACTTATTCTAAATAAAGGGAAGTTATTCGAAAGATGGTAGGCAACCATAAATATGATATGTATCCTCTGAATTGTAATCCCAACATGTGACAGGAGCTAAATTGAATATATACATTCAAAGTCCTTTTTTCTCATGAAATTTAAATCCTTGTAGGAGAGACAAAGAATAAATATCTAATTGAGTATAATGATAAACAGTGCTAGATGCTATAAAGATAAATAATGCTGTGAACTACAGTATCTGAGAAAGGCTTTTCTGAGACAAGCAGAGAACTGATGTGAGGGATCAGCATGCAAACAGCTTCTGGAATGGGAAATGACATTGTATTTCTAAAGCACTGCAAGGATGCTAGAGTTGAGATGTGGAAGAGCAGAAAATGAGGTGGGAGGCAGTCAAGGGTCATGTTACACGGGGCCATGTGTTCATGGTTTGGATTCACGTGGATGGTGGAAATGGCGTGATCTGACTTCGGTTTAAAAGGATCACACTGTGGAGAGCAAATTACATGGAATGAGAGTAGAAGTGGGAGAGTAAGCTGACGGAAGTATGAACAAAGGAATCAGAGCACCAAGCCCTTCCAGGATGATTGCAGAAGTGAGACGTACAGGAAATCTTAAGAAAACAATCAAAACTGTCCAGGAGTGTGTATCAGTAGGGTGCTATCAGAAGGCATCAGGGGCAGAAAGAATGTTAAAGTTTTGAAAGCTCAGAGACATTCTTCAATAACTAGTACTTATTTTGAAATAGCATTGCAATCATAGCAGAGTACTGTAACGGGAATACGTGTCCCATAGTAAACTAGGAGTGAATTCAAAGAAATTGAGGAAACCAGACGTTTTTAAAGACAAAAAAATAAAGCTTACATCAGACATTTTGAAACAATAATCCTTAGCCACAATGATTAACAAGGGTAGTGTCAGTCCAAGATTGAACAGTTGGTAGGCAGAGGCACTTTTTTGTGTAGGATTGTGATAGCCTTTGCACTTACAGTTCTGGCAGTCCTGTGATAGTCACTATTAGACAATCATTGGTAAGAACCCTTTCTTTGTGGCCTCCTTTGTAGCTTTATTCTTTTTTTGGTAGGGTTGACACCAGTGACTCAATTTTATTTTATTTTATTTTTATTCTTTATCGGTACCGGAGATCGAACTCATGACTGCCTGCTTGCAAGGCAAGTGCTTGTGCCGCTGAGCTAAATCCCCAGCCCTTATGACTCAATTTTAGTTCTGACAATTCTCACATTTCTTACCCAAGGATAGGTGCAGACACTGAAGCACACAAAATCTTAGTATATGAGGTTAGCGTTATCTGGATAAAGCTGAGAACAGCATTCACACTATGCTTTTGACAGCAAAAACGATCTGAAGAAGTTTCTATAAAACTCAGTCCCAGGAAAAGTCATCGATGAGGTGACATCTTGTCTTAGTCCCTTCTTGTGGTTGCAACCACACACCTTAGAGTAATTCATAAACAGAATTGGTCACGGTTCTGTGGTACTAGTGGATCCAACTTCAAGACATCAACTGACTTGGCATCTAGTGCTGGCTATTTCATGGATTGTATTTTCTTACTGTTCACATGGCAGGACTGTGCAAATTGCCTCACGCCTTTTTAGAAAGGTACTAATTCGATTTATCTTCCAAAGGCCTCCCACCTCTTAGTATCATCTTCCTGGGGAAGCATAGTACATTTAACCTCTAGAAATACCTTCTACTCTGCCTCAGATTACCAGAAGAACCTCAGGATTACACTGAGGTTCTAGATTCCTCAATGAAATAGAGCATTCAAACCTACATGTGCAGTACTTGCTTTTCACCCATGCTGGGACGTATCTATCTACAGGTTGGATGATATGAATCTACAGAGGCAAGTCTTTGTTAGATCAAACTGCCCTGGAAAACCTCTGTGATCAGTCACATCTATACTAACAAGATTTGCTTGTTACCAAAAAGTACCATTTTCTTCCATAACAAAGTAGGAGTCTTAACTGCGATGGAGTCTTTGTGTCATAAAATCTGGATCAGGTACTAAAGAGCCGCACCATTAAGTGCTGCAAAATGTAAATTGCACCCTCTTTTAAAACACTCTGAATCCTCAGCTAAGGGTTGTTACTCAAAGCCCTAATATTTGTCATTCTGCCTCATCAAAAGCAAGTCACTTCAAGTTCTGAGCAGAGTCAAAATGCAGACTTTGGGTACACTGGTGAGTCCAGACAAGTGTGTATGTAGCTCAGCACTGCATGCTTGAGAAGGAATTTGCCCAAAACTATACAGCTGACGACTGCTGTATGGTAGGTGTGTGGGGTTTGGTCTACACCGCGAAGAGAGGAGGATCCAGCTCCTCTGCGGGCCCCGCCGCCCCTGCACTCAGGTCTTTGCGGAGACGATGAGACGCAACAGGGGTATGGGGACCTTGGCTGTTTCACTGTGAAGAAAGCACTCTGCCGCCGCCCCTTAGGATTCTCAGCGCGGATCCCGCCGGTCAGGTCTCTTCCTTGGATCCCCTCCTGCCGTCCCGCAACTCCTCCTCAGCCCGAGACGCACGCACCCCACTCCCCACCCCGAAACTCCTCTTCCGACACTTCCTTCCGGGCCCGCGCAGCCCGCGAGCTCCGTATCCGGAGAGGCGGCGCTCTGAGATCCGGCGCGGCCACCCTGCCCCGAAGAGAAAGGCGGCCGCGGCCGGCTCACCACGCCCCGCGCCGCCCCGCGCCGCCCCGCCCCGGCTCCGACTCCCCGCGGTCCTCGGCCCGCGGCGCCGGCCAGCAGAGCGCGCGGAGGAGCACGCGGGCCGATCGCGCGCGCGCAAGGCCGCTCTCGCGCCGCTGTCTCCGCTCCCGGCGCCCACGAGGCCGCGTTCCTGCCGCCGAACAATGGGCCTCGGCGCGCGGCGCGTCCGGGCCGCGCTGCTCCTGGGGGCGCTGCAGGTGCTGGCGCTCGCGGGGGCCACCGAGACGCACGGTGAGTCTCGGCCCGGGCCAAGTTGAGCTCTCGGGTGGAAAGTTCTGCGCCCCCCACGCGGAGGAGCCCGGGCCGGGTTGGGGAAACTGAGGCTCGGGCTGGCCGCCCGCTAACGTCCCAGCCTCTTCCAGGGAGGCTGCAAGCGGCCGCGCCGGCCGGGAGGGGTGGGTGTGACCTGTTGTCAGCCCAGGAAGGCCCCTGGCCGAGGGCTCAGGTTCGGTTCTGTGGCCCGGAAGGTCTTGTTTGCGGCGGGTTAGTTTATGTAAGGCGTCCTTTGGTGCACAAGATTAGCTGGGTTGAAAAATGTCCCCTGATCGCAGCAGAAACTTGTCCACCGGTTAGTTGGGGAACCTTTCAGGCATCTTTCCTGGCATGTAATATCCACCAGGGTGAGTCTGAAGGGATCCGATGCCTCGAGTTGGACTTCGGGCCCCGGGAATTTGGTGGGAGCCCTTGGGGAGCGCGCCCTGCCCCCGCCGGTGTAGGTGAGGCCATTAACACCCGGCGTGAGCGTGCAGGGCGCGGGAGCCCCAGACTGTTGTCAGTGAGGGCCTCACCAAAAGACGTTGGCATTTCTCTCCCTTTAGAGCTTTGGCCCATTGGAGAGTTTGAAAAGAACTTTGTGGAGAAGGCCCGGAAGTTGGGCTTTGCTGTGTAAATTCTTAAGTATTGCCCTTTGTCAACTATTTGGAGAGTCATGGTCTGATAGACTGGAATAAAATGCTGTAAGTGACTGAAGTTTTGCATAATGAGTTCTGCCTGTCCTCTGGATGTTTAGCTTTAGATTACTTCACCCAGCAAGTGATAATGAGACCAGTTTGCATAACTGGGATGATTCAGGCACAACACCTGCTTTTGCTAGAATGATCTAGGTGTATTAACTTTTGTTGAATTTTCTGTTGGTTTGTTTGTTGAGTTGTACGTGTAACATGACTTCATTAACCTACTTTTGAGTTAATTTAAGAAAAGATCAATAAAAGGTCTGTCCACCACTTTGGTGCAAATTTTAAACTAGTATTAATGGGAAAGATGCCTTCATTTTTAAAAACCAGTTACTTGGTGTGTTAAAATAAACCTTTGCTTTGTTTTTCCAGTGAATACTGAGTAAAAGTTGGTGTGCCCTTGCTTTCTTTTGCCCTCATAACACACTTATGTGTCCTATTTTCACACTCACTGTGCTTTTTATTTATCCTTAAAGGTTGCTGCTATTTGGAAAATTTGGGATTCTTTACTTTAGAAGAACCCTGATTGCGTATATCCAAAGTGGGTTGAAGGTTTAATAAAGGATTCTCAAAAAAATGAGTGTTTCTGTTTTTATAAACATTATATAGTTGCTATAAAGTGACTTTATGTGATACATTCAGTCATCTTTTACAAACACTAAAACTTTTACATAGCAAATGTTTGCTAGCCAAGTTTTCTGTATACCCCACCCTATGTGAGAATGGAGGTTCATAAATCATCCCATTGGATCTTACAATATTATCCTTATTTTATAGGTGCATAGATTGAGACTTAGAGATTTAGCAAAATTAAAGTAAATTAATGCACAAATTTAAAGTAAAGCAACTAATACATGTTTGAGTTCAGATCAGAATTCAGACTCTCAACCATGTCACCAATAAGCCACACGAGGTGATTTCTGCTTTTAAAATAGGTGATGCTTTTAATTCCACAATACTGCTATTTTGTTGAATACTGTGGGAAGAGATAAAAACATCTTTGAAGTTCTGCTTTTAAAATATTAGTTTTATAAATATCTTCAGTTGAAGTAAGGTGAAACAGAAAAAATCAAACAAGTAGATTGTGGAAATCCAGAGAAGGACCTTAGTAGAAGGGAGCTGAGAGGTCATTTTCACAGTGAATAGTGACAGCCACCATTAGCAGGCTTAGGGGAGAGAAAAGACTTTTTACTCACTTAGCACTGCAAAGTTGAAGGAATGTATCAACAGCTGTATTAAAGGGTTGGAGTAGATTGTTATGAAGTCATCATAGAGATAACAGCAGGAAGACAGAGAAGATGTTTATGCAGCAGCCAGGAGAAATTTAACAGTGCCAGGAGCTGGGACAGGGTCACTTGCTAATGGGGAGCACTTGGAGCAAAAAAGAGGGAAGCCTCAAAGGCTGACCTCATGGTGCAGGACTTCACCACTGCTGAGAAGAACAGATTGATGCAAGAAAATCCCTGCTGCTTTGGCAGTCAGGTGCAGGCTTTGGAGTCACTCACCCTCCTAGAAATCCAGACTACCACTTAGCTAGGTGGGTGGCCTTCTATGTTCCTGTCACTGCAAGATGGTGCTCCTGTGTTAGAAGTGTGGGTGAGGTTAGATGAGTGCATGCAGGTAGATTCTCCCCACAAGACCCACAGCACTTTACAATGGTGATGATTTGATATCTGGTACTAAATACATCTGTACATTCTACTGATCCTGACCTATTTCAAGTTTAATCTCACACTGTATTCTTTTATGATAATGGATTTTAGTCCCATTAGGAGGACGTTTGCCTGAGGAAGATGATAGTAGAAGACTTCAACATTTTTCTTTCTTGCTTTCTCTGAAGTTAGTTTCTTTTTTCTTTTTTTTAAATGGGAAAGGGTTCCTCTTTTTAGAAAGTATTCAATAATACACATGCTCTTTTCCCTTGTGGTATATGTATTTAATTTTCCATTATACAAAGATTCAAGGTGAATAAGCTCCAGTGGAAAAAGTTGCTTAACTGAAACAGTTTTAATTTTTAATTTTTTTTTCTAAGCTGGTACATTTCACTCAGGAGGCTGAGGCAGGAGGATTGTTGCAAGTTGGAGACCAGTCTGGGCTACAAAGTGAGCCCAAGGCCAGCATGATGTGCATAGCCAGACCCTGTCTCAAAAAGACAAAAAAAATTTTTTTTCTAAATTTTGAGGTAAACAGCATTAAAATTTTTCATCCTGAGAAGACAAAAAATGAAAATGCTACCCAGTTCATTTCTCCACAGCCTGAAGTTAGGAGAAATGTGAAGACGAGCACCAGAAGTAGAAATGGCCCTCCTGAGATGGGCCACCCGGTTAAGAAGGGAAGAGTTGTCCAATAGCAGAAATCACTGTATCGCTTTTTCTCTGTCTTCATGTGCATAAATGAATTTTGGCAAAGCTGTTTGGCTGGCACATTGTAAGTAGTCTGTGTTCGTTACATAGCTGGGTGTTTTCTCTCTCTAGAAAGATCCAACAATACAATTTCAAATTTACTGATAGCTCCAAGGTATGTTTCATAGCAACCATGACCAAAGTAGACTTCCTGTGGAATAATGTACCCTCCCCCACACCACCACCTGGGGGCAGAAAGGAACGTGTTGGCAGTGTTCTTAGCTTAGTATGAAATGTTCTTTCATAACATGATACCTTTATTATTTTTTACAGCTTCTCAAGAGCCTCCTGCGCCTCTGCACAACTCCAGTGGTAACCTAACAGGTGAGTTTTAGAAGACCTAAGAAATGAATTTTCTTCTATTTGGGATACCTGAAATTTTAATAGCCAGGAAAGGACATGTAAGCTAGTGTACTGACCTCTCCTAACCATGATTCACTACAAATCACTGTAGCCTTCCTGAAAGGCTGCCCTACATAGACATTAATAACGGTAGTTTGCTAACAAAGCTATCATTTTAAAAATGAGCATATTGGAATTTTAAGCACATAATAGAGGTGAAGATTTTTATATTCTACGTGTAGTTACGAAATATGACAGTAAATCTGCAGGTCTTGTTAGTGAAACAAAGTCATTCTAAACTGGTCAGCCCTGATCACTGTTTTGGCAGACTCTAGGGAGATGCTGCTTACTTGTCAGCTGACAGACTTCAGCCTGCCATCTTGTTTCTCTCTCTTTCTTTTGTACTGGGGATCGAGCTCATGGCTGTGCGCTTACAAGGCAGGTGTTTATGCCGCTGAGCTAAATCTCTATCTCCTTGCTTCTCTTAAAACAATTGATTATACCCTTGCCCTGTCTGTTTGGTGTGAGACAAATGGAACCCTTGGGACTTGTGTTCAGAAGCATAGAAAGTTGCAGGAACCAGGCAGGTATCAGTGTCAGTAGTAAACCATCAAAGCGTGTTTTTTATAAGCAGTGGTAGGAGATTTTCTATTTTTCCTTGTTTTTCATGGTTCACTAAGTTGGAAACTAGGAAAAGTTACACATGTCCTATCAGTAGATCCATTTCTCTACTTTCATTCAAGTGAGTATCTAACACTATTCCAAGCATTACGGATACAAAATGGGCCAATCCCCAACTCGTGGGAATTTTTGTTTCTGTTTATTTTGCTATAATAAAAACCATAAAATTTATTGTTTTTAGCCATTTTTTACTTTACACTTTATGATTTTAAATGTTAGGTCTACAGTTCAGTGGCGGAAGGTGCACATGATCTTGTGCACCTTCATGGGATTTTTTTCGTGCATATTCCAGTATTCTGGTGTTCTTGCAGCTCCCATTCTGTTTCTCTCTTTGGTCTGCTTTAATCCTGGTGTATGGTAAAATAGGATATGCTTTTATTGTAGTTCTAGTAATGCAATGGGATAAATTGTGTATTGGAGGAAAAGGACTAGATAATCTCAAATAGAAGAGTAATTGTCGGATGGTTGTGAGAGGATTTTTTCAAAAATACTTCATTTAGTTGTCTTTTCCTATTGGCCTTTATTGGATCTGATTGTGTACTGCCAAAGTATTAACTTTAAATAAACCAAGAAGAAAGAAGAGAGGAAAAGATGAATTTATCAACAATAACATTATTAGTAACTGCCATTTATTGAATGCTTCCAGTTTACAAAATACTTTTCAAGTAGCAGTGAAGTGGCCATCATCACTGTTTCACACTTGGGTAAACCGAGGCCCAGAGTGGTGAAAGTCACGTGACGTAAGTGCTGCGTTCAGGATCTGAACCTGAGTGTCATGGGGTTTAAAATGGGTGATCTTTCATCACACTGGCCAAAACTGTGTTGTGCACTTGTCTTTAAAAATGCATTTCACTCAAGAAATTACACTGCTGACAGGAACTGTGAATGATTATTAAAAATCAGGGCAGTACTTTGAGGGCAGCTCCAGAATTGCTGGGGAGATTTCAGGTGTTCTTTGGAGAAAAGAGGAATTTATTGAGAGCAAAAGTATTGTACCATTTTTTTTCCAGAAAGAGATCAGATAATATCACTATTAAAAATGACTTGATCAATGTGTAACACGTCTCATAACCGTTGTTATTTACATCTCTTTGCTCTCGAAAACTTAAGAAGTATGATGACTTTGTGCATTATAGGACATGAGGCTTAATTTTTTTGTCTTATAGTAATGGACATTCTCCTAATTATTGAAATGTTTTAGAGATATTGTTTGCCAGGTTATTTGGTGCGATTTAATACAGTTTTTTTGGCACCACTACTAGTAGGAAGATTATTCTGCAAACTCATTAAGATAAAATATGTGGTACTGCATGTAGTGTACCACATAGAACACTAGGTATCTGTGACTTACAGAGCGTACCACTTTGGATTCAGTTCATCTTTTTCTCTATCATTCCTGCTACTTTCAGAAGCAGTTCTGGAAATCCTCTTTCATGAGTGTCTTTAGTTGCATGTTTTGGTTACCTTCACAACCCAGATCAATTGCAAACATTTACCTATCCTGGTCCTTTTGCCTTTGAGGACAAGCCAGGAATCACTCAGTGCCAGGTCTGGTGGAAAAGGGTACACTATATTTATGAGTCTGCCTTTTTGTCGAATGGCATGCAGTAGCAGTATGGACCGTATGTTTTTTAACCATACCTTGTAAAGACACTAAAGAAGCCGAGCAGACTGCTTCATTTCGAAAGCGGCCGGAATAGGAGAATAGGTGTGTTGGCAGCAAGGGGGAATATTTTGAGGGAGATGAATGCAATCTGTGATAAATTACAATAAATTTTTTAAGATTTAAATATCACTATAATTTGATCATACCTCATCTGGTAAATAGTAGATACAAAAATATGAATATTTTGCTTGAATTGAATTGTGAAATCAAATACATTTTATAATTGCTCAAGTACCACTTTATATTTTATATACCGATGCTGGTCCTTGGAACAATATAGCTGTTTTGTGGTTTTTTTTTTTGTTTTTTTTTTTTTGTCTTTTTCCTTTTTATCGGTACTGGGGATCGAACTCACGACTGCCTGCTTGCAAGGCAGGCACTTATGCCACTAAGCTAAGTCTCCAGCTCTTTTTTTTTTTTTAATATAGTGATAGTATGCATCAAAGAACCAGGAATGGAGGTTACTTTGCAAATTATATGAATTATATGTGGCAGTTCACCTTTTTTACGAGGACAGCCATACTTTTTGACGTGCTTGTCTGCAGAGACTTGATTGCCTCATTCAGCATATAGAAAACAATTTTCCCCATATATATAGTAATAGGATTTTTTTAAGGGTCTGTGGATGAATAAATTTACTCTTTATGGTAGAAGGAAGACATACACCCAGGTTCTTTTTCTAAATAGGTTTTTGGGTAAGTTTGTAAGGAAATGTCTAATAGTCTAGAACTGAGAACAGATCCTGGTAACAGGAGCAACAGGTGAGTATTATTCACAGTATTACCTTGTCCTTTATTACTTGGTGTTGACACTTCCCCAAAAAAAGAAGTCTGAGAAAGTTAGATTACTACCATCCAGCTTGAAGCTTTTGGCTGCAATGGCATGGTGGGTGGGGGCATAACAGGAATAGATATTCCCATGTTCCATACTTATGGCCTCTTTAGATAAAATGTTTTATGTATAAAAGAAATAATTCAATGAAAACTTCCTATGAAATCTCAAGCTACTGTTTCAGGTGGGAACCAGTTGTCCTGACAAAGTGCTTTTGATGCAGATGGTAACCAATAGCAAGACAGTTGATACTGGTTTTTAACTAAAGATCCTATGTTGCAAAGAATTTCCCTAAGTGCTATGAAGAATACCTTTTTACCCAGAACTGCTTTGGTTCCCCAGAGACTGTTGGTTATGTACAATTCATGTTTTTGATATTATATTTGAAAATTGGTAGTAATGTTTAATGTCACTAGATTCTTGTCTGAAGAAGTGTAGAGCAGATAATCATGCACTATTTTGTTTACTCAGCTAAGCATTGATTGTACTGCTGACTCTGCAAGTGGCTGTTATAGGCACAGGCATTTCATGGTAAATGACATGAGTGTCTGCTATCATGAAGTTTGTACCCAGGTGGAGAGAGACTATAAGGAGGTAAAACTAAAGATAGTATTGGGTTGTGGTTTTAAAAAGTAAACATGCAAGAGGTAATGTGGCAGAGAATGAGTAGAGAAAGCATATTAATTACTTTGCTGTCCCTGGGACAGAATACCTCACAGTCACACTGTAAAGGAAGAGAGGTTACTTAGACTTAAAGTTTTAGGGGGTTCAGTCTGTGGTACACTCCAGGGCAGAAATGACATGGTGGAAGGGCCTACCAGAGGAGAGCTGCTTCACCTGTGCATCCAGGAAACAGCAGGGAGAGAGACAGAGAGAGATCCTATAGGGCATACCCCAATGACCTTCCCCACCATCCCTCACCTAACGGTATATTCATCTTCATTATCTTTTGTACTGCGGATCGAACTCACGACCACATGCTTGGCAAGCAGGCACATATGCCTCTGAGCTAAATCCCCAGCCCCAGCATATTCATTTATTAACTCATCAAGGATTAACTTGCTGCTGAGCATAGTACCCCTGTGATCCAATTGTTCCAAAAGCCCCACCTCTGAACTCAAGAATTTAGGGGGACCTTTTAAATCTAAATTATGACAGAAGGTCTGCCTCAGGTTGGTTGCTCAGGAAAGAACTCAGCAAAGGTGGGACCATTTGTGCTAGACCTGAAGGGCAGGAGAGAATTGGGCATACAATAGCAGAGTTAGTTATTGCCAACTCTCTGAAGCAGGAATGAGCATCTTGTGACCAAAGAAGTAGTGTAAGCAGGTAACTATGCGTTGGCTCATGGGCGTGGCCTACACTTCAGTCAGTTTATATGACATACCGGAAATCAGAAAAAACATTTAAGATAAAAGAATTACACTTTGACTATCAAAAACATCGGAGACCAGAAATAAGGATTCTAATCACTTAGTTAACTTTTTTATATGGACATGAAAGTTCTTGCATTAAAATTCTGTAGTGGTTCAGAAAACACTTTATATTCTTCTACTTTGTACCCCCAAGACGATAGAGTGTTTATCAGTTGTGACTGTTGGTGTATTTTTCCTGAAGCATCACTGTACCCTAAAATTGTAATTAGGAACCTGAATTGTATCTAAAATACTTCCAGTTCAGGCCAAGAACTGCTGCTGCGTTTTATTGTGGCATAAGTAGGGAACATGTACCATTTTAAACATGAATAGAGAATATTTAACATTTTAAACATTTAGTCATTTTAAATGTTAAGAGAGATATGGCTGGG